CAATGCAACACAATCTCGTATGTGGCGGTGAGAGTTTTGGTGTCACCTTGACCTGGACCGCGCAGCTCTGCCAGAGGGGAGTGGTTCAAAGGTTGTGACTGGGGTTGCCACCTGCTCTGCTTGGGTGCTTTCTTCGAGTGAGTGAGCTGATGTCCAGCTCCCACTTTTAGGTCCTGGGTGATGAGGTACCCAAGGAAGGTGGAAAGGACTCCACAGGAGTCAACTGGGGAGTCCAACCAGGATGATGGGGCCAGGTGGCGGCGGGTTCTTTCTGAAGTCCACCAACCATCTCGCACTGTTTTCCAGAGCATTTAGCTTCCAGGTTGTTCCGGCTTGCACCAGGTCACCAGATGGTCAAATCTCCCCAAATCTGTAGGCAGACCTCATCCTCCACCCAAGAAGATGAACCAATGAGGGAGGTGTCATCTGCGAACCTTCATCAGGAGCCTGACGGACTGGTGACTGGAGGTGCAGCTGTTGGTGTACAGGGAGAAGAGCAGAGGAGAAAGAACGCAGCCTTGGGGGGATCTGGTGCTGATGAGCAAATGAAGTCATAAAATTGTGCTTTTGTAAAGTACTCAGTGAGGCATAGTTGTAACATCTGTCTTCAGAAACGTAAGCAAGAAAGCCCCTGAGTGCAGGGTAACAACCTTTTACCGTTGTTTAGGAAAAGACAAATTCTTAACAACCATTAAGAATACCCCAAAATACCTTAAAAATTACTTTTTTGTCATTGTTGGACCAGATAACTGACATATAGCACTAGACATATGTGATAACAACACTTCAACATCAATTATGACTTCATGGGGACTTTATGTATCCTCATTTCAGGCAGTCAGAGGGAAATCTTGAACAAAGTGCAGAAAAATGTCACTGGGCCTCATGAATCGTTTGAGACAAAGCATGAGGAAAGGCTCTTGTTCCATTTCTACTTCTGAATTTTCTCTATTTGGAAAGATTTTGTCACTAATTTGACATCTAAAATCTTCTTGCCAAAGCACTGACTTTCCAGAAGAAGAAAAAAAAATCAACAGCATTTGAACAAATCCACTTATTTTTGACATTAATTTTAACCTTTTCCCCACAGCTTTCACAACTTGAAACAATTAACAATCCTATAGGTTGCCATATCAGGAAAATGAGTTATTCAAAATCAAAGCAGTCTGTTAAAGGGGGCTCTGTATTGCCAATGGTGAAAATATGATTAGACCTCTGATAATATTTAGTTTCAGACAAGTTCATGAACTTGGAAGCTGGGTTAGCTGAGCTGCAAATGTGCGTTCGATTTTCTCTCTTTTACTGTGGTCTCTCTCCCTTGAGCTTCTCTCTCTGGTGATCCCCATCCGCCACACTGATCTCCTGGTAGCTGATGAACGATCTGCTAAAGTAATTCTTAGGTCACTCCTTGATTCGGAAACATCTGACAAAGCACACATCCCGTAAATCCTGCAGCTCTTCGGGGTATTACGCTGTCGGAACTTGAGTGTATTGGCAGGGTAAGGCTTGTGGACATCTGCTGTTTATCTGCATTCATTGGGGGCTCTTGCACTCTTTTTAACTGACAATGAAATAGGTCAGGAAAACCCAAATGACACAAACAAATACTCAAAAATGCTCAGAGATTGTAGGGTTCAGACTGTGTAGGATGTTTTTATTTATTTTATATCCAGAAAATTGAGGGGTTTAAGGAAAAGTTTTATATTCTTCCTTGCTCAATATTCCATACATATTATAAAGGAATTTGTCATGTAATTACCAGGGGTGTGTCCAGACTTTTTTTACTGGGGTGGTACAAGTGGGGCAATGGCTTATGCAGGGTGGCATGAATTTGAACACTGTTTATAGACCGGAGTCTGCTGAAATATTTAAATACACTAGGCAAAAATAACACATTTATACCACATGCCCAAAAACTGCATGGGATTAGGATAAAGTGGGCATGTCTGCTAAGGGGGACTTAGCAAAGAAAACCCATTTTGATTCAGATATCTTGAGGTCAGAGGTCAAGGGACCCCTTTGAAAGTAGCCAGTTTACCATTACCAAAATGTAGCCTAGTTTAGGCTCAATGTTATTTTGCCCCCGTCCTGACATGCTAGCATGACATGGTTGTTAGATGTACCTCTTCTTCTAAAACCTCTCAATTTAAGAGAAAGTAGTATTGTTCCAGTAGCTGTTCAGTTTTCCATGTTTTAATAAACAATTAAAAAAATAAGAATGCTTCTGGTGCCTTAATTTAAGTTGCTTATTTTTATTATGCTGTTTGAAGAAATGTTGCCTTATTATAAGATTTATTTGATAATGATCAATCTTATTACTATTATTAATATTATTATTATAAATAAAATTCAGCTTAATAAAGTGACCAAAATACTTTATTTAATAAGTGAGTTTTCATTGCTTGTAATGAGCATCACTTTTTGTCTTTCAGTAGCTAGATGTTTGTGCTAGTTTTGAGAGTTATAACCAAGCATAATTAAATTACCCCATTGGCAGATTTTGTTTGCTCAATACAAGAGAATTTGATTATATTTAGGAATATTTTGCTTGTTCCGAGTAGAGCTGTTTTTGCAGTGTAGAGCATCATAGTGCTGCTTGAAATGGTTTCTCGCTCTCTAAGGGTCTGTTCAGCTCATTTTGGATCAAGTCTAATTGTGAAGACAGCCACAACCAACCCAAATATTACCAACTGAGCTACAGCCACCTGGAAGTGAAAGGAGGCCCTCTTCTTCAAATATTCTAAGTCTGCTTTTTCAGTTCCATTGACAGCTTCCACACTACAAACATGCACTGAATCAGACACTGAGCTGACGGAAAATAAACTGCAGAATGACTTTTTGTTTGTGAAGTTAAAGTTAAGTAAACACAGGGCTTTAAACATACAGCAGAATAAGATTCTCTATTCTCACAATATGGTCTGAACTGTAGCCACTCACCTATAGTGTCAGGTCCTTTGGCATTGAGTCTGAGAAAGCGGCTCCCCACCGGCACCTCCAGCACTGTCTTTAGAGCTGCAGGCAGACACAAAGTTTTAGGGAAAGGTTTTATTGGCACAGTGCAGTACAGTAAAGTGTCCTGTCAAATAGAAGGAGGAGACTGATCCACCTACATCATAAAAACAGAGAGGTCATTTTTTATTGTCTGCATTGTTTTACCTGCTAGAAGTCACCTTCCTTCCTTCCTTTTTTGACACATTGCCTCATATCTTGGTCTGATACCACCACTCAGATGATTAGCATGAAACCATAAAAAATTGCTCTTTACCGCAACTAAAGGTCAAAAACCCCACAGGGAACCTTTAATAGCCATATTTGTCTAGTTGGTGAAAACCAAAACCAAACTAAAAGGAGATGGACATTTCCATGACTTAGTCCAGAGACTCCGAATAAATGCGACTGTTATTGGACGTGTCTATTGGATGTGTAAATAGGAAACTGAAACACTTTGCTAATAATAACGTTAAAGGTGTTACACATCTTCAGATGTTTGTTTTTTTTTTTTTTGCTTTTTCCACCGGTCCCCTAATCACTTTTAATTTTATTTTTATATCATTCACTGAAAGAATACATTTTATTCATTTGTCATGCATACAATTACGCCGGCCAGACCCAAGAAAAAACAGCATATAGATTGTCAAACAACAAAGCAGAAAACATAGAACAACTAAAAATCAAAGAACAACTAAAAGTACAGATGCAGGCGGGTCACCTTCTAGTAAAGTCCACCATGCTGAAACTTGCAATGTTTCTACAGTAGCCCGAGAAGGGAGCAACCAACCACTGCTTGTAGATACGGGGATGGCCGTTAGTGTTTTTCACGGCATTTTTCCGGCCACTGTAGTTGATACAAGGGCGTTGCATCTACAAATAACCAACTAGATGCCACTAATTCCTACTCATTGTGGACCTTTAATAGCCATATTGTTCCCGTTGGTGAAAACCAAAAACAGCCCCTAAAAGGGAGTGACATTTACAGTAGTCCAGAACATGACTTCAAAATGAGTTTTAACTTGGATGTGGTTAAATAGGAAACTCATTCATGAAAATAATTTCAAGGTGTTACTTTGTAAATTTTATTTCATGAATTCAGAAACCCGGCCACCCCTGAAATCCCCAAAATTTTACCCATTTTCATCAAACCAACCAACATAACTCCATTAACAGGTCACAGACACCACTTTGTTATGCTAAGGCAATAATTCTTCAGCCAAAAGAAGTCACTGAATCGACATGTTAGGTGATATATGCATTTTACTTGTGTGATGTGTTGCATCTGAAAGGACATTTCCGCAAAATCTCACTACCACAATCTCTTATACTAATCCGGCAAGCACCTTAATCTATAATCCTGACAAGTCTGCAAAATGATGGCCAATATTTGCACTTCAACAAACAATGCTACAGTTTGCATTTGGATTGTATTGCGTTTATGGCTTGTAGGTGGCAAGATGATGTCCTCTCACAATGCTATAATTTGCTCTTATCATAACTGACAAACTGAAAAAACATCAAAGTGAGTAATGCAGTCTGCCAGCTTTGTTGATTCCTTAAATCTTGTCAGAGGATGAATTGTGCAAATTAGAGTGCTGAGAAAAGGAAACTGTAAAACCATGGGTCCACCAGGGGCCGGAGGTGCCTCACAATGTTATCGGCTGTATCGGTGTAATATTCATTGAAGTATCGTTTCCATTAGTGTATAATCAACCTTAAAATTGAATCGGTTCTGTTTTTGTTACCTTTGATTGAGCTGTTTTTATCAGTAGCAGAGGAAGCAGGTCACCATCTGTAGCAGCCATGTTGTAGTTTCTCCCCTCATGCTTGCTTGGAAGGTGAGGGTGAAAGAGTGAGTTGCACCGTGCAACTACAGCCGGTAGGTGGCACAAAAATTAGTGTTTTCTTAACAGGGGCGCCCAAGGGGTGTTCAGAGAATGTCCAAGGGCCTCTTGAAGCAATATTTTGGAAAGTTGAGGAGCGCTTGGGGGGCCGTTTTGTTTAAGATGAGTTACTACCAAAAGATTCACAACAAGATCCAGTTGAACACAAAAACACCACTGCCAATAAACACAGACATTGTATTGTTTCCCATGCTGCTTTACATGAGAATGGAACACCAGAAATATCAACTATAAATTTTCACCCCAACATGGGCGTTTAAAAAAAAGATGTTCAACCTCATTAAAATGAACTGCTTGACGCTCTGGCTGTCCAAATTACAAACTGTTTCTGATAATATCAGTTTTTTTTCTGCCCCTGAGAAATGAATGATCAATGATTTTCCAGCTGTCGCAGTAGTTAAATCAAAATAGTATATTGTGTTGAAATAACATGAACACATGCCTAAACGGCATGCCATAATATTGTAAATAATATATAATATATAATATATAAATATATATACTCATATATATTAACTATATCATAAAAATATATAAAATATATAAAAGTATATATATACCTATCATATATATAAAAATATAAGAATAGATATATATATAATATATATATAGTATATTATAATATGAAGAATATATAATATATATATATGAATTATATATAAATAGTATATATAGCATATATAAAAAGTATATATATATATATATATATATACCATATATATATACGTATACGTATATATAATCATATGAGTATACTATAATGTATATATATATATACTGTATATATATATGTATATACTATATATATATATAATATATATATATATATATTAATGCTTATGTATGTGTGTGTGTGTGTGTGTGTATCATCATCATAATAAACAACAACAAATAATCAACATTAATATTAAGCAAAGACAATTAGCCTCCATTTTGTTTTGATTTGGGGCGATTAGGGACCTGAATAATAGATAGGGGGTACCGGACCAAAAAAGGTTGAGAACCACTGCATACAATACATATACATAATAATTACATAATAAATACATGATAAATAAGGCACGTTTTTAATAGTCGGAATTATAGCCCAGTGATTTGATCTGAATATTTTCACAGATTCAGAGAGTAAAAAGAACTATTGATCTGTATCTATAATTCATGTAGACTAATTGATCATTTAATGAAAGGGTCTCTCCTAAATTTTGATTCATTTAGAGCAGCTTGTTGCTCTGCATTACAGTATGTTCTTAATTATTCATGTCATTCAAGTCGGCAGTACTTCAAAGTGCACAATACATTCAGTGCAGCATTTTTCAATATAACTGTGTCACCAAGTCAGCTTGCCTCAGCATTTTTGCTTTTAAGTCTCAAGTAAAATAATTTTAGCTCATTCATTCAGTATTATGTATTAATTATAATGGTTCATTTTCAAGACAAACAGGGCAAGCTTGTAATTCGAGACTCTGGTCACCCTAAACATTAGCCAGCTCAGTCATTGTGTAGTCTGATCTTGTGCAAAATAAACAGCAGTCAGACCACAACAATTTAATCTAAATTAACTGTTTGACTTAAATGCTGGTTTTAAAGTTTTGTTATTTTGCCTTTAATTTTTTTTGCCTGCTTTTTATTCGATAGGTCAGGTGAAGACAGACAGGAAAGGGGGAGAGAGAGAGATAGAGGGGCAACATCCAGCAAAGGGCAGCAGGTTGGAATCATACCCAGGCCACTGTGGTAAGGACTCACTCACTCCCTACATGGGTTGCACGCTCTACCAGGTGAGCTACCGTGCGCCCCAGATTTGCTGTTATTTTTTGGGGCTCCACTGTGGCTTAAGGGTTACAATCCCAACCAAGACTCTCAACATCATCTCTCTGTTATCACTGTCTAATGAAGACATGAAATGCCTAAATAATTGTAAATAATGCATTGCCATCTGCCCAGCACTAACTGAGTTTCCTCTGGAAAGAAAAGGCTCCTTCCTTCTTTGGGAAACTACTGGCATAAAAATTCAGTGATATTCTGATCCTCCAAGTGGTTCCAGGCAAGCAGTTTGATCTCACCCTGATGCTCATTACACTACTCATGAATTTGTTTAGTAGTATCGATGTAAGTGCTATCACAAAATATGGGCCAGTGCAGCTGCCTTTGAAATTCAGATGTAATTATTTCACAGTTAAAGGTACAGTGTACATATTTTCCTTTTGGTGCAGCCCCCATTCGCCCCCTCATCTGATTAAGGTTGACAATTCATATGTTGTCTGATTAGCTTTGACTTAGCACCAAATAGTAGTCTTATACACACCCATAAACATAATTTAAAAGCCAATTTCACACATTCCTACATGCAATGTAAATTCTACAAAATAGTTATAGCTATACTTACTGTCCTATTAATCTCCCATCAGTTTTAATTTCACTTGCTGATTTCACCACCACAACACTTGACACTCGATGTACTGTACCATACACGATCAGGCCTTAATGTGCTTTAATTATATTCCCCACAGTCAGTGAGTTTACATAATTTCATTTACTTTCTGACATCTGCCTCGTTTCATTACTGAATATGACATTATCCTGTGCCGTCATCTTTCCTTTGTTTTGTTCACTGCAATAAGAAGCAGTGATCAAATTGAACAAAGGTTTGCAGTGGAGATGACCTTGCTACAAGTTACTGAAAAAGAGAAGATAACTGGGACTTTTATCAACTCGCTTAATGTCGTCTTCACTCTCAACAATCACAACCGCTGGCATCACAAACTTGTAGGGGAAAACACAAGCAGGCCAAACTGACCTATCACATTATTGATGCCCTTGCATGGAACCTACGTAGTCACAGTAGCTAAGACATATAGTTAGATTTCTGAGAAATGCATGTCAACTACACTGTAGTCTAGAACTGAAACGCTCTCATATACACTACTG